CGAAAATCTAAATTCGCCATCAACACCACCTTGTATAAATTCGCCTTGCGTACCTCGGCGAAAATCTAAATTCGCCATTAACACCACCTTGTATAAATTCGCCTTGATTTTACCACAAGAAAAAGTTCGGGTCAAGGCGAATTTATACAAGGTGGTGTTACTGGCGAATTTAGATTTTCGCCACGATACTTCTTAATGTCAAAAACATGTGTTTGTTGTAAACAAGGCGAATTCATATTACGCCTTGGGAATCTATACAAGGTGGTGCAAGGCGAATTTATACAAGGTGGTGTTGTAAAATCGGCTGATTTCTTCGCCTTACATGTATTTTGTTTTTGCATTTACTGATTTGAAAGCACACCCATCACAAGCAAACACAAAATACATGTAAACTATGGGGCGAATTGAGATTTGACATAACACCCACAATCCAAATACATGTGGTTGTTGTTGTTGTAATCTAAATTCGCCAGTGACACCACCTTGTATAAATTCGCCTTGGGCACACCCATCAAACCAAAAACAAAATACGTGTAAATTTTGGGGCGAATTGAGATTTGACATAACACCCGTAATACAAAATACATGTGGTTGTTGTTGTCGTAGTCTAAATTCGCCAGCAACACCACCTTGTATAAATTCGTCTTGGTCTTGGTGTACCTTGTATAAATTCGCTTTGGCCATTGTGTTGAGCATAGACAGTCGGCAGCGTTAATGCGGATTAAAATTCTGCCTTAACAGACGGCAATTGTAGATTGTAGAGTGGGTTCGAGTCCCACGGCCAATAGAATCTTCATTTATTTATTTTCTATTTATTTTTTATATAACATTTTTAAAGAAAATTAAACACTAAAAAATAAAATAAATGAAAATAAAATTAAGTATATAAATTAAACAAAATAAAAAAATTAACTAAATGCAAACAAAAAAAATTGCCAATCGCTCCAACCGCGGATCAAACCTGGCACCTACAGACTTGTAGCACGCAACTCTCCACTCGGCTACCACGAACACCAAACTTGCTTTCTTGTACAGCTGGCCGTTTTGACCAGTGTTGTCATCGAAGATTCCCCTGATCCAAGTTAATTCCCAAAAATGTCGTGTATTTGTTCGGCTGCTTATGCGCATTTGAAAGAGGATAATCCATGAGTTAATGAAAATAAAGGCTGTTTATGCAAATAAGTGATCCCCTTTGTCACCCATATAAGTTTGCGCCTTTGCTGGATATTTAAAAAAAAACCGGGAAAGATCGCTGATATATCTCACAGTTTAAATCCGCTTTATGAACTTCCTTGAACATAAAGTCGTTTCAGCAATGAGATTCTAGAAATCGCTACGTTATATTTCTATCGCTCAAAGTCCGTAGCTGAATTTTCCTTCAATAATTGTCGTCAAGCTCAACTAACGGTAGTCCCAGGAAACGGGCTGTTTCAATAGAGTCGGACCAAAGGGCATGTGAAGAGGTGGTTGGTGTCGTGCAAAGAGTCTGCACACGCCGGGTGCTCATTGGGGATATTGGGGTCGAGTCTGGATAGGTAGCTGTTGAGGCGGACACTATCCAGACCGTAACTGAGCCAGGGTAACGCGTGTCTCTCTTGGCAGTTGAAGCTCCGTCACTGCTACAGGTGGTGATTGGGCTCCGATGACGGCATTCATAGACCGGGAGTCGTGGTAGGCCGTGACCGACGCCCTATGAATGTCGTTGATCGCTCGTCGGTACGTCGTCGGGTCCAGTGGTTGGTCTGTATATATCTGAACCGCGTCCTTGTATACGAATAGGCTAGGGGGCCTGGGCGCAGGCCCCTCCTCTAGCAAAGGTCTGTTGGGGTGTTGACTTCTGTGGCATCCCACCAGAAACTGCTGGGCCTCACTGTGTAGGTGGTGCTCAGGCGACATCAGAAGGCATCCTGTCGCTGTCTGGACAGGATATCATCCTGCGTTATGACAAGCCTATAGCTTGCGACTTGAGGACCTTGTTACGGCTCTGTACTTTGTTGAGGCGTCTGGGTGTTTATGGTGTTTATGGTGTTAAGAGCCGTTGTTGTTCTGTGCACTTTACGCAAGCCATGCCGATGCTTCGATGGGGCTAGGTGGTAGGTGAAGTCCGGGAGTAGAAGGGCCTTGAGTGTTTTCGCGATCGGGGAAAGGAGCGTTATTGGGCGATAAGAGTCTCGTTTTTGGCGGGTTTTCCCGTTTTCGGCAGTGGGACCACTCTCCCTGATTTCAACACATCAGGAGTAATAAGAGTGACCATTGACAGGTTGAGGACTTTCTTTAGGTATGCATCAGCATACAGAATCCGTCGAGTCCAACGGCTTTGGAGGCTTTTGCCTTCCCGATGGCCCCCTTTACTTCGCCGCTGGTGAAAATAAGTGGTTCACTATTTTGAGGCAGTTTGTGCAGCCTCCTGGTCACTCGACGTTTGGCCTTGTCTACTGAAAGGTGCAGTGTAAATTTCCGGCTAAAGAAGCTCGCGCATTTCTTCGGGTCAGACGAGGCGCGACCTTCGAATGAAATTTCCGCTCTGTCGTCGCACTTGGACAAGGACCTCACGGTTGACCAGAGCTTAACCACACCAGAGTCGAACTTACAGGACTTCAAGTGCTCTTCCCACTTTTTCCGCTTGTGTTGATTTACCAGTTGCCGAATCTCCAAATTAAGGTCCTTCAAGAGAGGATCCCCGAGATCGAACTGGTGGTCACGCTCATTAGCTAGTACAACTGTTTCAGCTGGGAAATTTGAGCGGACTTTAGCGATGCGTCCCGTTCGTATGAAGCGAGCCACTGTGGCAGTGACTACCCTGCGGTACTGGCGTTTGACAGCGTATACGTCTGAGGGTATGGGAAGGGCGGCGAAGCTGCTCTCGGTAACTTCCACGAAGCCGTTCCCATCAGCTTTGTTGGTATAGGTTCCGTGGTCAGCGGGTGCAAAGTCGGTGGGCTTATTGATCGAGATGATTATGGGCAGATGGTCTGATGCTAGTGTTAGCATAGGTCGCCATGATGTGCTGTATATCAGACCAGCGCTTGCAATTGTTTGGTCTGGCGAGCTGCTGCAGCCGCCCACAATGCTGGTGTGGGCGTCGTTGTTCATAGTGCAGAATGTCGAATCGTTTATCTACTCAGCCAATAGGTTTCCCTTGCGATCATTTGTCAGGCTTGAATCCACCTACTACGATTCGGTTTTCACCTCTTAGTAGCGCACCTATTTCAGGGTGATATCCTGCCGGGTAGCAGGTGACAAGGGGTATTATATACACGTTAAATATTTCGAGCTCGACATCGCCTGACCGGACAGCTATGCCCTGACATTCTAGGGTAGCGTCCCTCGGGTTGATGTCTTCTACGATTAGGTGTAGGATGAACGCTAATCCTTCACCATCTCGCTCGAGGTCTTTACGGAGCACATTGTAGACGACGCACTTCTACAGAGTTGAGTTGCTGTGCATGAAGACTGCTATATCTCAATCTAAGCTCAACGCCCTCCCGGAGAAGGATTCGAAGCAATCCGGCTGCAAGGTATTGCTCATGGACGTGAAATAATTGAAGGGTATCGCCGATCTAAACGGGGTTAGGTCGCCGAAACAACAGCCTTTGGTCGGGTAAAACCCGAGTCATTATAAGGAAAATTTACCTACAAAATACATACATATGTACATAAGGGTGGTCCTTAAATGTAGGAAGCATATTTTTACATCAGATTTCCCAACCCCTAAGTCGATGCTACTACAGTCGGAGATAATAATACTAATAATAGATTGGCGCTTACACATATGTTAGTGTTTGGCCGAGCTTCTCCTCCGATTTGTGGCGTACGCCTTGATGTTGTCAGACAAAGCGGAGCGACCTCCAGTTTTGCGCCGTCTCCGAACGGCGATTGTATTTTTATGAGAAGCTGTTTTTCATGGCAGAAGTACACTCGGAGGTTTGCCATTGCCTACCAAGGAGCGACTGCTGTTAAGAAAAAACATTTTTTTTTTTAATTTTTTTGCGATGTTTTTTTGGAAGCGCGCACTGGGTCTCAGGGGGGCAAAGATCAGATTCCTCTATGGAGACTCATATTATTACTTTTTTTCATCTAGTACCCAAATTTTTTTCATTTTTTGAGTCTATAGAGGCTCTGGCCTTAACCGACTCCAATCGGGACCAAAATTTATATGTGATATCTGTGACCGTGTTATTACCGATTGAGGGGGTGAGACTGAAAAAAGTCGTTAATTTGATTATTTAAGGACCACGCTAATGTACATACCTACATATTTTTACTTTAAAGGTGGCCACAAACAGATGCGATACTACCGGTGCGAAACACAAAAATTTACGATATGCGATGAATACAAACAACAGTATTCGGAATATAAAGATTGCCTTAATTCACAAAGGCCCAAACCAACATTTTTTTTATTTTACAAGAGAAGAAAAAAAATATAGAAAGAGTAGCGGGTAGGGGTTTTTAAAAAGTGGCATGTAACTCCGACGTTTAAAATTTTTATTGAAGGTGTATTTTAATACCTCCTACCAAAATATTTGAAAAACAGAATTTCGAAAAAAGTGTTGGTTGGGGCCTTTGTGAATTAAGGTGGCGATATGTTTTTATGTACATATAACTTATTTACTATACAAAATTTGGGAAGTTATTTATTTCTGTTGTAAATAAATAAAAATATTTATTCTGTATTTAAAATTTACTAGAAATGCTTTTAAATTTCTTTCTTTGTAATTTTGTTTAACATAGTTTGCGTTTTGCACAACAATAATCGCGCATTATGTATATGCACATACACACGTATATACATTTATACATATTCATATAAACAAACAAACATATGTATGTACATACATATGTAGGCATTGTATTTACGCACAAAATTCTCTCGGTTTTTTGTTTATTTGTTATGCCTTCTTTAGCGCACTTTTACTTAACTCGGAAAATGTGCTAGAGATTTCGAGTAAAATACTTAAAAATGCAGCAAAACTCAAAGGCGCAAACAACAAAAATAAAATAAATTGAAAAATTGAAATCCACAACGGTCTATTGGCGCGCTACAATTTGATTTACCGTAATTTATAGCCTTATAAGTATGTGTATATTAACGGGTTGGAAATTCGTAATTAACTTCTGAGTTAATAGAAATTTCTTCATCTTTTAACAATCAAAAATTAATAACTAAAATTTTTCGCAATAACCAATAAAAGCCCTTTCACGTACCTTTTCCGTAACTTCTGCGATCAGAACTCACTTTAGGGTGCACATCAGGTATATGTATACAAAAAAAAAAAAAAAACTAAAAATAAATTCCTTTTGATACATAGTACATCTGCAATGTAGGGTCACACATATGTATATAAGCAGCATCGCAGCACATTTCGGATGAGTTAAAGAGATAATTGAAAAACGTTCGCAATCGCAGAAACACGTCAATCAGCTATTGCCATCAATTCCGTTCAATTAAAATCTTCACCGTGAAATTTCCAAAGAGTATCCAAAGTATCAAAAACTGTGAAATCAATTTAACCAAAAGCATAAATCAAAAATAAGCAGTGCATTAAATTTGCGCTCTATTTATTTACACGCAACTAAGACGGATACAGCCCAAAAATTATTGAACTACACGAATTATCAGCCAAATACAGTTCTGCGCAACGCGGTGCAGCTGAAAAATTTGTAAGGAAAATGCTAAAATCAAGTATTGAAGTTGATCCACTGCTGGGCCGCAGCCTGGTGACCACGGAGCCGGTAAAGAAGGGCGACATAGTTGTGGAAGAAAAACCCTTCGCGCTGGGTCCCAAACAGAATAGCGGTATTGTTTGTCTCGGTTGTTATCGCGATTTGATTTTCGGTGAAGATGGCGATTCACTGGATCGCTGCGAAAATTGTGATTGGCCATTGTGCAGTGCGTGCTTTGATTCGCCCGATCATGTCGGTGAGTGTGAGATATTTGCCAAAGCAAAAGTCCATTTTGCCGGAAATGTAAGCGAGGATGGAGTTTGCACACAACTGGATTGCATAACACCTTTGAGGTTAGTGAAAAAATTCATTTATTCGGTTCCCTTTTCCGCCACTTTTTTTTAGTGTTTATTTTTTTGTTTTTTGTGGTTGTGAGAGATCAACTTTTTTTTTTTGTTTACATTACATCTTGGCAAAGAAAAACATTTGCTCGCATGTAAACAAAAAAAAAAAAAACAAAAAGCAAACAAGCGGCGTACCGGAAGCAGGGGACACTTGTGTATATACCGGCATTTTTTTAATAATGTCAGTATCACTTCATTGCAACTGCATTTGAGAATGTGAATGGCCCTTTTTCCTTTTAAACTAGGTGTTCTCCTTGCCGGCGTATCATTACAAACAAACCCTGCAACCTCCGCACAAAATAAACTGTGTATTTTTTAATTTTTTTTAGTTCTTTGCAAGTTTGTTTTTTAGGTGGTAAAATACCAAAGCGTAGTAGTTGGAATAGTTGCTGTTTGTTTACATATTTCAACTAAAGAAATCCATTAATTTTTATCTGAAACAATTTTTTTTACGAAAAAAAATCACGTATACGTAGTAAAGTCGCTGGCATCGAAAAAATTTTAATGGAAATAAAATTCCAAAATGACATATTTTTAAAGCTTTCAAAACCATTTTGCTTTCTTATTTAGATCGATGGTATTTTTGGTTTTTAAAACCATGCTGAATCTATTAGATAGCCTGTAGAATGTACATACATACATATAAAGTGGTGTTAAAAAAATTTGCAAGTGAAACGCCTGTTTTACAAAAGCTGCCGCCAAATGCCAGCTTTTAAGGTAACACTTGTATTCCTTTTTGCTAATTTGCAAAGTGCATCTAAATTTTAAACTTCTAAATCAGATTTTTCAGAGTTTGTTTGAGTATGCAGTTTTATGGCCCACAAATGTGATTGTTTCGGGGTGTACAATGGTATAACGGTTTATGGCATAAAAAGCAATGGGGGTATAAATAAAAAGTCTTTAGTATTAAAAACGGTTCAATAAACAAGTGTTTATTATTACTGGAAGTCACTTGAAGAGAACCAGAGTTTTTCGTTTGAAAATATTGATTTTCAAGAATTCCATACCATTTTGTAGAAAAGTTGTTCTTTTCCCCACACAAAATGCATGGAAAACTTTGAGCGACTTCTAAATATTTTTTGATTAAACAAAAACAAGTAATTTTTTAGCAAAAAACAAAACCGACTTCAATTCTCATATAAAAATTTTGAAGTTCCGTTAATTTCATCATGATCCAATGATCGGATCTAAACCATATTAGTATGGGACCACCTTTGAGAAAATAATTATAGAAATCGGTTAAAGTGGTCCGAAGTTATGCGGTAACATACATAAAAAAAAAGAAAAATTCCGATGAATCGATAACCTTCTAATTTTTTTGATGTCGGTTAAACATAGGAGTGTATTTTTTTCTATATAGAACAGTGCTAGGGGATGAGAGCATCAAAATTCCGACATAACTTATTTTGGACCACCCTAATGCACATAGTTTATTCTTCATGATTATATTCTCTAACTAGAAAACTACTGTTAGATATATCCGTAGTATAAATTTCGTAGAATATATAAGATACACAAACAGTTGTATGTACTAGAGGTTTACGCCGACAGGCTTTGCGGCGGCGGCGTGTTCAACTTCAAAAAGAATCGGCGGCGGCGGCGACGCCGGCGCGTCTGGAAACGCCGGCGCTACTGCCCATAAGGTAGAGTCCAAAGAGCCATGAGGCTTCTAATCTCATCATGTCATCAGATTATAATTCTATTTAATTCATTCATTGAATTCAAATGTTGAGTGACTGCTGCTGATGGATGGGCGAACAGAAGAAAGTCTATATAGTATATACATTAGGTTTCCCATTGAAAATGATTTTTTTTGAAAATTTAAAGACCCTACCCCCTAATTTGATTCGTTTTTATGAGAAATATTATTGCCTATTTTTATAGATTTTTTAAAGGCCATTTAGAGGTCGCGGCCTGTCGATTTAGGTCAGAAAATACGATTTTCTAGATTCGTGAGTTTTTGAGAGACTATTTTTGCTTGAATTTCAATGAATTTTGTATATTTTGACCATCGATAATTTCCACAATTTGAAAATATGTAGTACTAAGGCACACAAAAAACTATTTTCGATGGGCACCCTAATATACATAAATCTCTATGTACTCTAAAAATGCGTATGTACTATTTCAATTTAAAGAAATAAAAAAATTTAAATGTTAAGTTATTGGGGTAATTTATGTCGCTATCAATAAAGTTTTGCAATAAGCTTTCAACCGTTATGTTAAATTACGGAGTTCTTACGAATTTTTGCGGGTTGTATATTGAAAATAAGGTTGGCCTACTTTTTTCCAAAAGTTTAACCCATCAACTCCCACCACAACGGGCCTTTTTGATCCACTGTTTGAAAAATGGCTTATAAATAGTTAAATTTCCAATAATATATTAAGTGCCAAATTTTTCTAAGGAGAACAGAATGTAATGCAAAATAATAGTAATTTTTACCAAAAAGGGGGACTTCAACTCTGTGTAGAAAATATTGCTATGCGCGGGAGCAAAACCTTCCTGGGGTTTGACCACTACTTAGGAAAAAAACTTTTCTACCCTATTCGACCCTAATTTAACTGTAATAAACGCTGTCGATCGAAAAACATGTTACCTATATATTTTTCTGAGTTACGCTTTTTTTTTAATGTTCAGTGGCCCAAATTATGACAAAAAAACATCTTTTAAAAATGTAATTTTCATTTCGTAAAATAGTGCTTTTATACGAGTAGTTAGTTAGTTCCTTCAAACGATGTATTTCAATGTGCATACAACATGAAAATTTTGTACAAAATTCCCTAGGCGCCGAACGCCGCCGCCGCCGCCGCCGCGCCGATATTTTCGTAACTCGGCGGCGGCGCGTGAGAAATGACAAAAAACGGCGGCGGCGGCGGCGTGGCCCGGCGGCGTATACCTCTAGTATGTACATATTTTATAATCTGATTTTTGAGTTGAGCCTCTTTTTAACAGGGTGTGCGATATATTTGTACATACATAAATATGTATGTATGTATGCTATAGAGTTCTTTAAAAGCTCGATAATATTCCATGCGTGACTCAATGTTGGAGTTTTCGCAGTTTTTTTAATTTTTTTAAAGTTCTCTGCAAATTAAAATGTTACTCATACGCAACGTT